GACACCGAAGTTCCGCCCCTGAGAGGACTCCGTAGCTTGCGAGTCACCAAGTCCGTACTTCTGCGCAGGCGCTCTCAATCCACAGCGGGCTTGGCTCCTGGCAAAACCGCTTTGCTGTCATGGCCCCTCCACCGCTGTCTCCTCCGCTTTGCATTTTGCCGCCAGGCTCGGGCCCTCCCCGCTTCGTGTGTTACTGTGAGCCGGAGGGTGGTGGAGACGGGGACGGTGGCGGCTTCAACCTCTAGTGAGTGGGGTGTAGGGATGTGGGGTGCGGGAGCGCAGCGGGCGGGCGCCGTGCCTGACAGCCCCTCCCACCCAGTGTGACAGACGCCGCGGAGCTCTGGAGCACCTGCTTCTCGCCTGACAGCCTGGCGACTCTCGTGCGTAACAGTACTGGGGATGGGAGACATCCAGGAGTCTAGCATCCCTTAGCCCCCTTCCACTTTGGCTGTAGTCCTCCTAATAGTATTCCAGGGTTGGGCAGTTTGGAGTGCCCAGTGGGTCCAGGGTCCTGGGCTGTTAGTGACAATTCCGTGTTCCCAGCAGAAAGCCCGATTTGGCTTAAGTGAGACTGAGGACATCCCTTCCCGGTTCAGGTGAGTCCCAATTAGGGAGGCCATGTGGGGGAGGAGCTTGGGGGAGGGATAACACACATCCTGGCCATAACACATCCTCTCCTTACTTAGGGCAGCCTGTCAGCAGCAAGCAGTGACTGTAAGCCTGCAAGAGGATAGAGCCTTGATGACCCTTCCAGGGGATACCTCTGCACTAGCCTTTGACCTCTCCAAGGTGCCCAGCCCAGAGGCAACCCCCAAGCTACAGGCTTTGACTCTCAGCCTGGCAGAGCGTGTGTACAACCTAGAGAAGCGACTAGCAGGTAGGATATATGTGGGCACCTGTACCCTCACTCAGGGACCTGCTTTTGCATACCCTCCTGGCACTGAGTGGGGTGCTTGTGGCTTTCTCCCAGCTGCAGAAGAGATCGCCACTAGTCCCAGGAAGAATACCCATCCAGCGGGCCCTCAACTCTTCTTACCAGGTAAGAGGCAGGCCTGGCATGTAGGTTGGGACTGGTCTTTCTCTGGAACTGCCTCCCCAGATGCCTCATGTTCTAGAATCTGTCAGTGTAGACAGAGTTCTTTCTGGTCAGGGTTCTTTTGGGTTCAAGACTTCCCTGATCTGATTTTCCCGCAGAACTTGATCACCAGAGAGGCAGCTCTGGACTTGGGGTCAGGAGACGGTGTCCAGGGGAGTCTCTCATCAACCCTGGCTTCAAAAGGTACTTGCCACATGTCTTCCCTACCTGGGTCCCTTCCCTTTCCTCCGTGCAGTACATTTTCTTGTCTTCTAGTAAGAAACCAGCTGGTGGTGTAGACTTCGATGACACCTGAAGATACAGCAGAACCTGTGACCCTGACAGGAGCTATAAGGAAAGGGGTAGATCCAAGACCCCCACCATTCAGAGACACCCCTTGCTTAACTTCCACTGGCTGATCCTACTGTTGGGCAGGAGTACCTCTCATGCCTTCCTGGTCAAATAAACTACTGTCTCAGGTAGAAATGCTAGTCCAGACTTGACTAGCGAGGATCGGCCTTGGGGAGGGGGCCAGAGAAGACCCTTTTGGTGTGGAGCCCCAAGATCCAAACAGATGCACCAGGCTCTGTGCATCCAGGAGGCTCTCCTGGCTAGATCTAGGGTAAAGCCTTCTCAGACTGATTGTGTTCATGGCCAGCCCAGAAGCTGAGAAGGTCCCAGCCTGGTAGGGCCAGGACTCTATAAGGCTGGGAATGATGTCCCACACTTCCAAGCCCCACCCAGGCAGGGCAGGTCACACCTGTCCCATACAAAGATGCACAGAATTGTCTTGAGGAATGTGTACCATAGAGCATCAGACAGTGGAAGCCCCTTACAGGAGGAGATGGAGTTGGCTCTCAGCCTGTGGCAGGACTAAGGAATGTAGGCCTGCCCCCACCTACCTGGCCAGGATCCCGGTGGTTGAGCTCCATGGCGCTCTGCTCCCCACCCTTCTTGGCCATCCAGGGCACCCCGCCCAGCTCTGGCCTGACTGGTTTGGGAGACTAATCCAGTCTCCTAGATCCCTGCCCTCTGTCCCAGGGCAGCTGTTGGGGGCTCCAGGCTTTTGTTGTAGCACCATGGATGAAGGTGAACTGTGCCTTGCCTACCAGACTTTTCTGCCCTCATCATTTTAGGCTGTCATCTTGAACTATGCTTCTCACTGTGGGACTGGACTGGCGTAATTGTGGGCCTCTGGCCACTTAGATGTTCAGGACACATTTACTTGGGGCAGGATGTCTTTATGGGGCTGCAGATGAGTGTATGGAGTTAGGGGTGCTAACGGGGGTGCACAGCAGGCTGGTAAGCTGCCAGGATCTCTGCACTGTGTGGACATGTATACTTGAACTCCTTCTCCTGCAGTGCACTGTCCAGGTAGCGGCGGACACCACACAGTTCCTCAGGGATGGGCATCTGGCGGAAGTGCGCACACACGGTCTGTGGGTACAATGGAATGTGATGAGGGGCCTCGCTCGATGGCCCTTCTCCCCGCATCTACCAGCTGGTCCCTCACTCACATCCACAATGTGCAGCTTGGGCAGCAGGCTGCAGTCAGCCAAGGTAAACTGGTCACCATCTAGGAAGCGGCGTCGGGACTCTCGAAGTTGTGGCTCCTGCGCCAGTTCGTGGTCTAGTGGTGCACGCAGGTAGCTGTCCAGCCTGGTCAGGGCCCGGAGCAACTGCTGATACAGGGCTTAGGGGCAATGGCACATTGAGGACTCTACCTTGGCCTTCCTTGGGTTGGCCCTCCTGCCCATACCTCCTGGCCTGTGTCTCACCATTGTCCTGTGTAGGCACTGGGTTCTTGATGAAGGCAGAGAACTTGTGGAAGATATCATTTCCTGCTGTGATGGATTCCCTGTACCTAGGCGCTAGGCTAGGGAAGCTGTAGGTGTGAGTGGTTTGAGAACTCCAGTCAGATCTTCACATACATTGTCTCAAAGTGCCCTTCCTAAGTTTTCTCCCAACTGTACCCCCAGGGGGTCCCATCTTTGCCCTCCTGCCCCACCAGGTGCTCACTCAGGTGGCCTCAGTGTTGCCTCCAGAAACTCTTCAATCTGCAGTGTGTCTGTCTTCACATCCCCATCATAGAGCAGGATGGGCATCTGTGAGCCTGGTGCGAAGTCCTTCAGCACATCCAACGCCCTGTGGACACCAGGCAGAAGGGAGGTGGCTGGCCTGAGCGGGGCAGAAGCTAGGGAGGGGTCCAGGGCTGTGTCTCACCTTCGTGTGTCCACTGTGGTGAGTGTGAAGGGCACACCCTTGAGGAGTAGGACCATGAAGAGCCGCTGACAGGAAGGGCAGTGGCCCACACTCTCACCATCTTCACTGGCCTGGGTGGGTGGAGCAGGGGTGTTGGGCTGGGAGCAGACCCAGGAATCCTGACACCTGGCTGGGTGGGAACCTACCTCCCACTGCCATTGGCTCTGGAGGCACCCTAGGACTCTGGCATGGTTGGGCATGGCATCTACAAGTGTCTAGTGAGGGCCCTTGACCTGATCCCTGGAATGGGGAAAACAAGGGAAGCTGGGAACTTGAAGGCAGGTAGGGACAGGGCCTGGGTTTGGGGCCTTCCACAAGCTTTCTTCAGAACCAGAGAGTTCCAGGCACAGAGATTGACAACAGGATGGGGTAGGCCAGAGAGTCATCTTCCAAGTGATTAACCCACACAACTAGGTATTGAAGCTAACAGCTCAGCTCAGGGAAATGACCAAAGAGGAGGCCAGGACCTGCCCCCACTCAGATCTGGAGCACTGGCCTAAGCTAATGGGGCCATCTGGCACATGAACCTGAATCTCTAGCTAAATGTCTACCAGATTGATACCTCCCCACCAAGGGACTTTCTCCCAGAGCTGGGCCAAGTCCAGGAGCCAAGGTGAAGAGACCTTGGCTATCTGATCCCCCCCACTCCCACCCGGCTATGGGAGCTCCTCCCCCAACCTGCCTGACTCTGTTCAGCTCTGTGTGGGGCAGCTTCAGCCCACCACAGGGGAAGAACACCCACAGGAAAACCCATCCCCCCCAGCCTGTACAAGAAAACAGAACACCCCCTCCAGCCCAGCCTGCCCAGAACCTTCACAAACAGCTGGAGCTTGGTGGTTTCGGCCATGGTAGGAGCTGAGGCATCCGGCGGCAGCACAGGGTGTGCCTTGGGAGCTCTTTAAGTCTCCCTGGATGCCCCACCCTCCCCAGTCTGTGGGCCCGCCCCACAGAGCCACCTAGGCAGCAGCTAGGTTGCCAGGGCAAAGCCAGTTGTCTGTACAAGACCAGGGTGTCCATGCATAACAGTGACCACAGGGAGCCTGAGTCTCAGGGCCGGCTGTAAGTATAGGAAATTGGCTCACAGCAAAAGACTGAAGCCTCGGCATGATTGTGTTGGAGCCAGTGTGGTGAATGCAGACAGGAGGGTGAGGAGGCTAGGAGAGACCTGGGGTTTAGGCTACTACTAGCCCTGAAGGCACTGCTTTGCCTCAGAACCATGCTACACTGATCTCAGGCCAGGGCCTGCCTCGAAGCCCCCTGTAGCATATTCTCCATTGTCAAGTCCTTATTCTCAGAAATCTAGGGCAGAGGGATGAGTGGGAAATGCCTCAGTTTACCAGTCTGTGTGATAAGCTCTTCTGGAAGAGATGCCCACTCCCTCCCACAAAGCCCAGTCAGGTAGGGCCCTCTGCCTTCAGGGCAGCCCCACATTCCTGATGTGTTCATGGCTGGCAGTCTGATGAGCCTGGTTTTGCTGTTTAACCCAGGTAGGCAGAGGATTTCATACCCCATCCTGTTCACATGGGCTCAGAGCAGGCTTCTTACTCTTAACCTAAACCTTCAGATGGCCCCAGGAAGGGTTAGAAGCTGCTACCTCTGGCTGAGGAACTGAGAATGTAGTACCCAGCAGGAAGGAAAAGGCCAGGGTAGTCTGAGCCTACAAAGCACATACCTGCCGCTCACTCAGTCTCCCCGAGCCCACTGGGGTCCACAGTGTGAGTTCCCTTGGCATTACTTGTGTCTCTGCCTGCGTTTGAGTGCAGGCAGCCTTCCAGGAGGCGTGGCCTTCAGAACTTACGCTCACATAAAACTGGCACTGCCCACGGCTAAGAGGACCTGTTGATTGCTCTCCCCTCTCTAGTAGCTTGGTGCCATCCAGGCTGGATAGAGCAGCCAAGGTGTCTCCATACCTGCCCACTCACCTGCTCATATGCCAGACTCTGGCCAGTGCCTCAGCTGTCCCAGGCTTCCCTCTTTCTTAGCCCTGTCTGGTCACTTCCCTGACCTCAGCTGAGCCCCCAGACAGGTGGAATGCAGTTCTGATGTCCTTGGGGCTCGGATTTGTTCCAGAGTCTCAGTTTCTCCTCTGACTCTCCTCTTAATTCCTAGAGCCAGTTTTATTTTGGCTTCTCACTGCCAGAGTCAGATTTCTGCTTTGTGCTTTTCTGTCCTTTGCAGACAGATCACCACTGTAGGCCCTGAAGCCTTTCCAACCAAGTGGTCACCAGACATGCCCTGTGTTTATATATTTTTACAAAGCTGCCCTTAGAAATGCACAGGAAAGGGTGACGTGGATAAACAACATGAGTAGTGGCATGGAGGAAAAGAAACAAAACATATCTCAAGGAACAAGCCAGAGGGATGAAGGATCTTTACTGCTACAAGCAGAGCTATGGACATGTCCTGTGTCAGTCTGTGGGTTGGAAGAGCCATCAACTACTGGAGCTGGCTCCAGTTTGCCTCCCAAACTCCAGGGTCATCACCGCACTGATGAACTGTGTCGTTCACAGAGATTGGGATGAGAGATGGACCCACAGGTGCATGCCAGCAGATTCTGGTACAGGTTTGTTGTGTTCCCCCAAAGGTTTTATGTATTGGAATCTTAACCCCCAGGATGTGTGACCGTATTGGGAGATAGTGTCCTTAAGGAGGCAATCAGTTTGAAAATGAGATCATCCAGTAGGCTCTAATTCAATGACTATGTCCTTTCAAAAGGGTATTTTCTGGTGGTAGAGAGTCTGCCTGGCATGCAAGGCTCCGTCCACATTTGATTTTCAGCACTGTAAAGGGGGTAGGGAAGATTTGAACACAGAGACATGCTCATAGAACATCCTGTGAACTTGATGGCGGGGGTGGGGGGGGAGGACAGAATGACACCTATGTGCCAAGGATTGGGGAAAGCTGCTGGGGGTGGGGGGGAGGACAGAATGACACCTATGTGCCAAGGATTGGGGAAAACTGCCCATCAAAGTCCAGGAGCTGGGGGAGGGCCTGAAACGCATCTTTCCTCATGCTTTTAGTGGAGCCAGCCTGCCCTAACTCCAATCTCTCTTCTCTTTGTATGGCAACCACAGTAAACCAAGAAAACAGAGAACTGAAAAAAAAAAAAAAAACCCACGTTGTTAACATGCAAGATTATGAGCTTCTGCTGGCCCATTCTGAGCTGCAGACATCTGTCGGTAACTCCAGACAGAGTTACGGACAGACACCAACTTCTGCTCTGTCCAGACACACCATGTGTGTTTTCCAACCTGTGAATTTGTGTGGGTTGCAAATTACTTAATTTGTTTGTTTTGGGTTTTTTTGGCAATACCTATTTATTTGGTTTTTCAAGATATGGATTCTCTGTGTAACCCTGGCTGTCCTGGAGCTCTCTTTGTAGACCACACAGTCCTCAAACACAGGTAGATCCCCCTGCCTCTGACTCCTTGAGTGCTGGGACTAAAGGCATACACCATCACACCCAGTAGTTGTAAATATTTTAAAGGAATGAAAAGATCAGCCAGGTCTGGTGATGCAGGCCTGTCATCCCATCTACTTAGGAGGCTGAGGCAGGAGGATCATATATTCAAGGCCTGCCAGGGAGATTTAGTGAGGCTTTGTCTCAAAGAAACCAAACTATGTAAAAGGGTTGTGTATAGCTAGCTCAGAGGTAGAACAATTCCCGAATGTGTGGGGCCCTTTAATCCCAACTCCACCAGTACCCCCACCCTCCAAAAAATGTAATGCCATCCACCCTAACTGAACCCATGACTTATCTAGACCATAGGACCTTGCCAGGAAATCTCTACTTCATACAAAGCGTCTTCTGGGGGCTGCTAGACCCAAGACAGGTTCATGTCTCCTTCCTTGTACCTCTGACTCCCTGATGCAATCAAAATTGGCTTTTTTTTTTCAAGACAGGGTTTCTCTGTGTAACAGCCCTAGCTGTCCTGTCTTTTTTTTTTTCAAGACAGAGTTTCTCTGTGTAACAGCCCTAGCTGTCCTGGAACTAAGTCTGTAGACCAGGCTGGCCTTGAACTCACAGAGATCTGCCTCTGCCTCCCAAGTGCTAGGATTAAATTTGGGAGCCACCACCTCCCACCTCAAAATTGTCTCTTATAAAAATCCTGTTGCTGTACAAAGTTCCAAGTGTTTTTTGTTTTGTTTTGCTTTGTTTTGTTTTGAGATATGGTCCGATGTAGCCCAGGCTGGCCTTGAACTCCTGATCCTCTTACATCCACTTCTCAAGTGCTGAGATTACAGTTGTGTGTGTCACCATATCTGTCCCCTAACAGTGTGTTCTGAAGGGAGACACAAACATTGGGGTATCAGTAGGGATTTGCTCAGATATTTCTGAGCTCTGCCTGTAGAAAGTTCCTGGTGTGGTGACATTCCCATAGTAGACCTAGCACCAAGATCCTCGGTCTCCCCAAAGGGCTCTACCATGCCATGTCTCCCCAGAATTCATGTGTTGAAACCTTCACAGCCATGGTAAAGGATTAGGAAGCAGGGCTTATCAGAGCTGATTTGAGTACAAGGGTGGAGCCCTCATGAGTAGGACCTGTAATCTTACAAAGGAGACCCATCAGGATTCCACATAAAGAATTCTGTCTTAGACTCCTAGTCTCCAGAACTATGAAGAATTAATGTATCATTCATAGGCCCCCCAGCCCTCTGAGCCACTAGAGAAGCCCCAGAGGGGAAGGTAAAAGGGCTGATCTGTATGTGGTCCACAAAGCAGAAGCAGCTCAGAAACTGCCAACCCAAGCCAGGCATGGCAGTGTCTGCCTATAATCCCAGCATTTAGGGAACACAAAGCCCGGGCTACACACAAAGATCCTGTCTCAAAAACAAACAACAACAAAAAGCAATGGCCAGCAAGAGACGGCTTAGTGGACAAAAGCACTTGCCATTCAAACACAAGCCTAACAACCCACTTTTGATCCCTGGACCTGATGGTTGAAGGAGAATCTTGGCACATGCAGGCCTAAGTACACGTGCATGCTCTCTCTCTCTCTCTCTCTCTCTCTCTCTCTCTCTCTCTCACACACACACATACACACACACACACACACACACACACACACACACACACGGGAAAAAATTTAAGTGCAGAGGTCTATAGTGACACATTTTTAAAGCAGAGGGGACTCTGTGAGAATGCCAACTAACATGCAGAAAATGAAATGGCCACCAGCCCTGGCTATTGCCTCAATGTCTCACTGCTAAAAGAGAAAAGTCCCCCAGTGGGAAACCATGCTCCAGAATAGGCCTTCACCAGGACTCCTGGCATATCATAGGCATATCATAGCCCACAGTATTCTTCCCAAAAGTGTCCAACTGCATCTGACCCAGGAAATAATCAGACCCACCCAGATCTCAGTCCTTGTCAAACCTGTCCTGGAGAGGGGAGGAAGAAAAGGTGAGAGACAGCGTCAGAGATGGCTGGAGCATAAGAAAATACAACTCTAACTGGTCCTAGAGGCAGGAGATTCTTTTCCTTTTCCTTTCTTTTCTGTTTTGTTTTTTTCCCCTGAGACAGGGTTTCTTTGTGTTAGCTTTGGCTGTCTGGAGACCTGCTCTGGAGACCAGGCTGGCCTCGAACTCACAGAGATCCGCCTGCCTCTGCCTCCCGAGTGCTGGGATTAAAGGCGTGCGCCACCAATGCCTGGCCCTGTTTTTGCTTTTAGACAAGGTCTTCTGCAGCCCACACTGCACTTGAACCCCTGATCCTCCTCTGAGTGCTGGGGTTACAGGTATCACCACCAAACCTAATGTGCTGGTTAGTTTGGTGTTAACCTGACAAAGTTAACATCTGGGAAGAGAGAACCTCAATTCAGAAAACGCCTCCATTAGATTGGTCTG